CCGTAGCACTCCTACTATTCCTGGTCATTCCTCTCAAGTGAGGTGGGATGTGGATTGCATCCCCTGGGATGCTCCGTGCGAACGCAGAGGGACTATCTATCAAGCCCGGTTGAGAGCAACTGAGCCGGATCGTGCCATATGCAACAAACTGAGCAGGGACCGACCGTCCCGGCATTTCTATAACCCTATCACGATGTGTTCTTAGAACCTAAGAAATGTTTTAAGAACAAAACAATGTTCTGAGATCAGAATCCCGTGCTAATGCAGACTCAGCCAGAACTGTTCTAAGAACATGTCGTGCAAACCACAAAAGGTTCTTAGAACATTATTTGGTGGGCCTATAGGGGAGCCAGGACGCTTCGCCACTGCTTGAACAAGCGATTAAGGTTGGATCAGCCCAGACCAGGTCGCAATGGATTGTGCTTCGGCCAGAGATGCACAGCAGAACGGATGCCGAATCCGACGCCCCAAGAGCGCAGGCCCCAGCAGAGGGGGGGAAGAGCAGAGCGGAGAAGCAAGAGAAGGGAGGAGATGACTGAAGGCGTGTTCGCTGCCCGGGCTCCTCGGCCGCGCCGGGCACCAACTCCTGTCGGACCGGCCGCAAAACACACGGGAAACTGCGACTGCCGATCCTGACCCCGCTTGGGAACTCTGGAGAAAGTAACACACTTCACAAGCATCGTCGGTTGGAGGTACGCGAGGACTTTTCGAAACGTCGCTGGACCCCATGGCGGCGTCTCAGCGATCCATTCTCCCTGCCACCTCCTCCTCCCCCACACCCTTCCCCTTCACAATTACACAATATGAATACTATTCTCCCTCTTCCTCTGATGACGGTTTGAAAGTATTAGCCCCCCCCGCGTACTGTTTTTTACACACAGGACTCCCCGGAGTTGGATTTCCGCCTGCATTTTTTTCCAACATGCTGCTCTCGCTGAGGCGCCGGCCTCATTTTCGGGCCCCGCTCGTTTCGAATCGTGCTCCCGCTGCAGCGCTGGCATCATGTCCGTGCTTCCGCTCGTTCCGAATCGTGCTCCCGCTGCAGCGCTGGCCTCATATCCGCGCTTCCGCTCATTCCGACTCGTGCTCCCGCTGCAGCGCTGGCGTCTTTTTCCGTGCCATGCCACGGCATGCAATGCAATGCTAGGTTGATACTACGCTTTGCGGTGCTCTTCTACGCCATGCCATGCCGTGCTCTACAATGCATCGCGTACCCTTTCGGGATCATTGCCCTGCTTGACATTCGACTGTGCGAGTAGAGAGGGGATCTACGCCATGGTAAAGGATGGGCGGGAGGGGTAGGATGTCAGATATGACTCGAGCGCACCTAGCTTGCCCCCCCCCCTCCCCCCATCCTCATCTTCCTCTCTGTCCTGTAGGATGTTGGCGGAGTTCGAGAAGTACTTCTGCAGTTCCTTCGACCACGCAATGGCGGGGCAATCCGCGGGCAGCCCCTCCTGAAAAGGGGGAGTAGGGGGAGGAGGAGGGACGGTGTGGGTCCTCCTCGTCCTCCTCTTTCCTCCTCTTTCCTCCTCTTTCCTCCTCTCTCCTCCTCTCACCTCCTCTCTCCTCCTCTCTCCTCCTCTCTCCTCCTCCTCCTTCTCCTCCTCCTCCTCCTCCTCCTCCCTGAACCCAATTGCCACCCTCCCCGCTTCCTCTCTCGTCCTCGGAGAAAGAGAGAGAGAGAGAGAGAACGCAAACAGAGAGAGAGAGAGAGGAAGTGAGTTGGATTGACATTGATATGAAGAGCGAGAGAGACAGAGGGATAACGAGAAAGAGACAACAATAGAGGGAGAGAGAGACAGAGAGATACTGGTATTGAGGAGAAGGGATGAGCAGGAGGGAGAGGAAAGAGGAGGAAGAAGAAGAGGAGGGAGCAGATCGGGTTGAGTCTGCTGTGCGTTGAATGTCTACAAGCCAAACATCCGCAAGATTTGACACACAGGTTCTACATACGGGTAGGAGATCGACTAGACTACAGTATTGGTTTACCCCGAAACTGTTATCTGCCGAATCCAAGGAACACATGTAATTACTTTTGGATCTACGGAATATGCTATTGATATTTCGCAGATTCGGGGGCAGGCCTCGTTTGAGCCTCCGCAGCCCCTCGCGCAGGAAAGTTGAGTGATATGAGCTGTTGGTGTAACATCACATGGGCCATGTGTTCGAATAGGGTATCGACTACCTAATGGACTTACTTGAAGAACGCTTGTTCGTCGAATATACGAAAATGCGTGGGATGTTCCGTAAACCTATCAGGCATGTACGTACCGTTCGCAACTTCGACGGAAGACGCGATTCTGGGGTAATTGAATTATGTAATCGATCCCCTACTCGACGTGTCTGCGACCGGAACACGGTGGCGGGATTGGCCCGAAACCACTGGACCAGCTTGGCACGAGGATGGAAAACGCAACTTATGCTGTGATGGCTCGGCATCGCTGGCTTGTCAGTTCTTCCTCCTCGTACATTCTCACCTCCACTCGTCAATGTCGCAGTGGGGCCCTCTTGGGCCGTCTCGGAAAACTCTCCTGCTGTTTTCGGGCCCGATTGAGTCGTCGTGAGACCCTTCAGCGAAAATCAAAAAACGGTATCAGACACATCGTTTTACAAATGAGATGTTGGAAAGTGTTAACTTGTTGACGGATGTCCCTAGCGGACTCGCCATGTTCGTCACTCTGGAGGCGCTCTTGGATCGTTTGGAAATCCGTTGTCCGAATGTCCTGTTCCCCATGCTTGGCCCGCCCTCTGTCCGATCGTCGCGTTTTACTAACGCTGACGGTCGCAATAGACTCGGAGCTGTCACAAAGAGCGCGCAGGAACAATGTTCTTTCACCGTTAGAACACTCGCATCTCAGAACCATGCGTTTGTATGTTTGGATCGTCCGCTATCTGGATGTCGTGTTTCATCGTTTGGACCGCGCGCTTTCCAAAACCGTGCTTTTCCGCTGTTGTGACCTGGGAACCTGCCAGGCCGTCTTCGGACGCTCTTGAACTGTCTTGGGGCGCTCTTGGGAGCCTCTTTGGCCGTCTTAGAACGATAACGGCGGCATCTTGAGCCCCCTTGGCCTGTTTGAAGCTGGGGCAAATACGAGAAAGCTCAAACACCCAGAGGGGATATTTGATTTGTGCCCCGTGAGGTAATCTCGGTAATCCTCTTGGAACCCTCGTGGGACTTTTTGGAGCTTCGTGGTGGCCGTCTTGACGCTCTCTTGGACCGTCTCGGAGCGCTCTTGGACCGTCTCCGTGCCTTTTGGACCCTCGGGAGCCGTCTTGAAGTCATGTTGGAGCGTCTTGGGCCTCCTCGGAGACAATATTGAAGCCAGATCATTATGGGCCATCGTGGGGCCCTCTTGGGCAGTAGTGTCGGCTATGTTGGGCCGTCAAGAGCCCTTCCAGAAGCGATACAACGACGAACCACGAAACACGAAACACGCCCGCACATGGGCATTGTCGGGGGGGCTGCTGGCATTGCGCCGGGACGCCGGAACGTCAGAAAATGAGGCCCGATCAGCCACCCTGCTCGATCTTGTTCCAAAGCTCCGTTGTGGCAACTTCCAATATATCTTGACATCGAGGCTGTAGATCTTGCCCTTGAGGCTGGAGGTCGAAAAGCGGAGGTCGAAAGCTGGAGGTGGAAGACTCGATGGCGTTAGTCAGTCGTTAGTCAGTGGTGAATGCTAGGTGTCGGAAGTTCGAGACTGGAGGTCGGCCACGTGAAGCGAGAGGTCGATAGGCGGGGGTCGAACGCTGGAGGCGCAGTCGAACGCGATACCAAGACGACGTCGGCAACATCTTATTGTTGTGAGAATGTCCCTCGCAAAGACAACATCCCATTCGTGTGAGGATATCCCTAGCGAAATCGTCATTTTCAGCTGAAGTCGGACGTGTTGAAGCAATATTGCCTGGTTACGTTGTGCCGTCCTGAAGCCTTCCAAGAGCGATCCGAAGACATCTTAGATGTTTGAGGATGTCCCAAGCGAAATCGCAATCGTGGCTACTAGTTCCTGGGGCACGGCGTGCCAACCCCCTCCACCTCCCCCTCAATTCATTTCTCTCGAATTGAGCGAGCAACGACATGTGTACATGCACGCCCTCCGCGGTCTTGCGCGCACGAACCTCCGCGTTCAAACGCAATTCGGCGGAAACAAACCGCGTACATGTACATATGTTGTTGCCCTCTGACGAATAACGGATCGCATGCTATGCGCACTTTCCGTCATCCGCCGCCCCATGTGGCTTGCCACAAAGGTGCACGGCGCGTCGGACATCTGAGTGGTCTTGGTTCTCGTAAAGTGTCTCCAATGGGGCCTCGGCCCAACACGCTGGCCGCACGGAAGGACCCGTTAAGACATTCACGCCCACGAGCAGTCTCCCCAAGATTGCCGAAATAGCCCAAGGTGGCCTCCAAGATGAATCCGAGACGGCCTAGTTGCCCCCAAGAGAGCCCAGGATGGCCCGAACATGTTTCCAAGACTGCCCAACATGGACCCAAGACGGTCCGAGATGGCCACAAGTTGGCCCAAGGCGGCCCAAGAGGCTCCAACGACTGCCCAACAGGCCTCCAAGAGATCCTCCAAGAAGGCCCGAAGAGGCCAACATCATTGATTGTCCGCCGGTGTTTCAAGGTGTCGATGTGAAGATATGTTTTTCCTCACGCGCAGGTGGGCAAGCAGCGCCCGGTATGTTGCCCTAAACAGCCCCTCCGACCTCTCGTCGGGGCCGCCAGGGCCGAAACGGCTGCGGGAGAGCATAGCAGGAGTCAACTTCAACACTGCTACCTCTCCAGCTCCCTCCTGGGTCCTGCGGGTACTCCGCCCGGTCGACACCGTCGACCGGGCTCACTGTGGGCCAAAATGGCCGCGACGCACAACACTTACTGCTGTGTCTCTGCGAGCGCCGCTCGCGCAGCGGCACCGCCGCTACTCGGAGGCCGGGCTCCCGGGGGCCAAACGGCCCGGACTCGCATGGCACCGCCATGGTTTGGTGAGCCGCCCTCACTTCGGAGCCGTCGTGTCTGGCGCTTTGGCCGGCTTCCCCCAGGGCGCCGGTCCCTCCTTCGGCGTCCCGTCCTGGTAGTACACCGGGCACTGGTTGCCCCAGTGCCCCTCCTTGAAGCAGAGCCGGCAGATGTTCGGGTTGAGAACTTCGCTGGGAATCGACCCCGGCAGAGGCCCCTTCTTAGACTTGCCGCCCTTGGTGCCCTTGCCCTTCTCGCCCTTCGAGCCCTTGCCTTTCTTACCCTTGTCACCCTTCGAGCCTTTGCCGCCCTTGTGCTCCTCGACGTGCGCCTCCGGCGACGGGCTCCGGGCGCGAGGCGGTCGGCGAGAGCGTCGGCCTGACGACCCGTCGTCGCCCTCCGAGTCTTCCTCCGCCCTGGCGCGCCGCGCCGAGCAGGACCTTTCGTCGTGCTCAACCTCGGCCCGTGCCTCCGCGCCGACCTCTGGCGCGGCGCGCTTTTCGTCCGAACTGTACTCCGAATCCGAGTCTGAGTCTCTGGCGTTTGCATCCCGTGCGCTTGCAGCTGGCGGCGGGATGCTGACCATCAGTCTCCGCTGCGCCGCCGCCTGCCAGTGCGTCGCTGCCAGCGGGTAAGTCTTGAGCAGGTCCATCACCAGTGCCCAGCGCTTGTACTTCAAGCCGTCCTGGTGCACCACGTTGTTCCAGCGGCACGCTAACTCCTCGGCGCTGTCCTTGCCGGGCACCAGTGCCCCAGGGTACGCCACCCTGAGAAAGTTAGACACCCATGGGCTCCACTCCGAGTTCGGCAGCTGGTCCACCTCCAGCTGCGTGAAGACCATGAAATGGTCAGCCGTCTTCAGCGCCGCGTGCTCCGACGGGTAGGATTCGATACTCTCCCCGTCACCCCCCAGGTGGCGCCGGGTGAAGCACACTGGGCCGCCACCGTCTCCGCACCCCGTGCGTTTCGGGGGCGTCGCCCTTCGCTCGACCCTCGCTGGCTCCGCCGGCTCCGCTGGCTCCGCCGGCGAGCGCCGCCGCTCTTCCCCGCGCCGCGGGGGTTCTTCTCCTTTGCCGCGGCTGCGGCTCCGCGTGGTCTGAGCCGTCGGCTCCTCCCCGCGCCGCGGGGCCTCTTTGCCTCGGCGGCCGCTGCGATGCCCCGCGTCGGAGCCGGCACCACTCGCGCCGCGATCCATCGCGTCCGCACGGCCTCCGGCCGCGCCGCGCGCCGGCAATGCACTATCCGCTTGAGCACAAACGGCGGCGCTGGCAACGGAGACGAAAGACGTTGAAATCCCAAGTTGAGTGCCCGCACTCGTGCCAGCACGCAGACCAGCATCGACAAACAGGGTGCGATTTATTTTCTCCGTGTGGACAAATTTACGCAATCGCCCTGGACCCGGGCCAGCAAGGCCGACTGGCGGACGCCGATTTTGACCTGAGGTCTCCCCCGGGGGCCGTTTAACTGTCTGACTCCTCCGGATTGCCTGGGCACTTTCCTCATGGACCCTCGTACGGTTTTGTTCCATGAACTCCCGGACCCGTTCGCTCAATCCCCCTTTTGTGAGCCCGTCCGAAATCATCCACCTGCTCGGGAGCCACCTGAGCCCCGCCTTTTCTTCGTCCCGTTGTGGCCCGCACGAGACCAGAGATTTTAGCGCAGCGAGCCACGCAGCATCGTGTCGATCGTCGGGGATGTTCCCTTCGACCTTCACGTGGTCGTACAGACTACGACAGTCGGTGAATAGCGCGAGAGGCATTTCATCCTCACCGTACTCCACGACAGGAGTACCGCTCCAGCCGTAGGTTGCCTCACACAGCAACGCCCGCATGTAGTAGGCCATCCCGTGGCCCTCTAGGCGCGCCGCCGTCTCCGCCGAGAACGTCGACGTCACCACCCGATGACTGGCTCGGCTTCGCCAGTCCAGGATTGATATCGGCAGCTCGTCCTGCTCCAAGCAGTCGAGGTCGATGGCAGCCACCACCACGCCGGCTTGGGACCTCACCTTATGGCGATCGAACCGTTTGAGGTCCTCGTCTCCCTCAATGAGCTCGCTCACATTCCCATACAGGGACGAGTCGTGCCAACAGCCAACGCCCATCCTCCCTTTAATGGGAGCGATCCGAAGCCGAGCGCCTCCGCTGGCTTTCACGTCTCGAATACACTTGTTGAGTTCTCTCGCGTCGGACCAGGTGGGCGCCTTTTGCAATTTCTGAAACCGGTTTGTCTCGTAGGCTTTGTCGAGACGGCACTGGCTTGCCAGCCAGTGGAGCGACCCCGTCGCTGACTGAAACTCAGCCTTCGCGAGGGGGCTCACTGGGTCCTCACCTTTTGCCTGACGGTCGACCTTCACCTCCTCAAGTCTCCCTTCGACAAACTCTGGCATTCCCACTTCGACGCATGACCCGTCCACTCTGATCCGACGACCGGTGTACACATCTCCCTCGGCCTGCTGCGCGACCACCGTCCAAGACCCGAAAGGAAAACGTTCGCGCAGCCTCGCCTCCTTGGCACGCATCTCGGCGCTGCCGTCGTGGGCTAACATGCAATCGCCCACGTGCACAATGAGCATACCTGCGAGACGATCGCCGCTATAGTAACAGAAGAAAGCTACGTCGAGCTGCAATTGTTTCCACCCCATTTCCTCTACCATGGCCTTGCGGAACGTATTGAACCACGCTCGCGGCGCGTCGGGCAACCCGTATATGCCCTTTTCTATCTTCAGCAGCTGTCCGGGTTCCAACCCCGGCAATCCGCCCCGGGGCTGGCGCATGTACAACGGTTCCTGCCCTTGGCGCGGTTCCCCTTGCAGGAACGCACTGGAAACGTCACCGATGGCCAACTGAGATAGCCACCCCAAGTTCGCCGATTGCTGCAGGAAGGCGTGGAACCCAGATCGCTGCACCGTGGGAGCGTCCGTCTTGACTGTTCCGAGCTTCGCGTCGGGATCGTGCTGGCCCTGCACGCACAACCGTGCTTTAGCCTTGAGCGGCAGATCATTTTCGGGCGTCCTTAGGGCGGCATTTTTGTCTTTGAGCTTCATGTCGCTCCCGAGGATCCGACTCCGGTCCACTGTCCACAACACTTCCTGTGAGGCCTCTGGCTCCAGCACCGACACGCACTTGTAGCGGAGCCAAGAATCCCACTCCTTCTCCACAGCGGCCTGGAACGCCTCATGATCCTTAGGCGCTATTTCGTCCCACTTAAGCTCGCGATCTTGAGTCTTTCGGTCCAGCAGTGCGGACCCCGTCCCGCGGTGATACGCCGTCATCACCTGGTGAGCCTGGTAACTGGCCCCACTCGGGGCCTCGCCCGTCCGCCGCACCGCGGCGGGTCCTTCGACTGTCGCGAGCGTCGGCTCTCGCTGGCGCTTTTTCTCTTCTTCGAACACCACGAGCATGCGATCTGCTGCCGGCCGCAATAGCTCCCTCGGGTTCGTCAGCTGGGCCCACCGGACCCGATGCTCTGTGCAGCGCCACTCGCCGCCGTCTTTCTCGTAAGTCGTCCTGAGCGGCCATTTCTCGAGCGGGAATCGCGCGCCCAGCGTAACTCTGGCCCAGGCCTCACCGAGGCTCCGCACCGGGCAGCCCCGATCACACACATGCCAGCCTGGCATGGTGATGAAGCGTTCCAGTTCGCGCGGCACGCCCCGAGGCAGTCCGCTGCCTTGGGCCTCGTCTCGGGCCTCCTCCCTGGGGGTGCCCCCGGGCGCAGGAGGGTCTACCTCGACCACTCCCCCGTCCCCAGGGCCTTCCCGCTCCTGCTCGGAGGCTTCCCCCTGAACGAGTCCGTCCGCGGCCGCTAATTCATCCGGTCCGGCATTCAGGCCAGTGAGGTCTTCAAACTCTTCGCGGCTCATAGCCTGTCGAATCTCGTCCAGAGACCGGGCGAGGTCGGCATCCTCCGCCAGGTGTTGCTCCTCTGGGCTCAGAGGCCTCAAGTGTTCTGGCGCAACCAGAAACGGTTTGCCGCCGTACTGAACCCAAACGTTGTCGTTGCGCCTCCCGAACACCAGAGCAGGTCCGCACCACTCCGGCTCGTTGACCCGGCGTCCACGCTCCGTGCGGTAAGGCCGGAAAAAGAACACGCGTTCGCCTTCCTTCCACTCCGCCGGAGTGCCGCGACTCCTCGCGGCCACGGCCCTCCGCACGAGCTCTTGACTGCGCGTCTTGATGAGCGACTGCTGACAGTGCTCACGTATCTTGAGTCGCCGTGCCAGCGGATCGCCCTCTTCGGCCACACATGGGTGATAGCTCACCGCTTTGCCCTCGTGCCAGCACTCGCCGACAAACTTCATCTTCTGCCCGAAGAGAAGCAGTGATGGGCTGTAGCCGCACTGCCCAGGGAAATGGTTGAGGGCTGACGCAGTTTCCTACGCGAGAGCTTGCATCTCATCGATCCCAGAATACGCTCCGTGCCGGATGCTTTTCTTCATCACGTTCTTTGCCTCCTGGATCTTCCGCTCGACCTTGCCTTTCTGCCAGGGCGCGTACGCCGCGGTAGGGTCGCGCGCGGCGCCGCTCCTCGAGAGGGCGTCCACGAAGCTTCCACTGACGAGCCCCCGCTCGTTGTCTGTCACGAACTGATCTGGTGGCCCCGCCCAGCAGAGCCACAAACGCTCGTACTGCCCCCACAGTTCTTCGCTGCTGTGCGCATTGATCAGCCCGATCGTGCAGTGCCCCGTCGCCACGTCCTGCACCAACAGGAACCACCAACCTGTTCCCCACTGGTCGGGAATCTTGAACAGGTCTGCTTGCACGACCTCGTTGAAGGACAAGTCGTCCTCTCGAAGTCGCGCGGGCCGCGGGGGCCTCGCTCGCGGGCGTTCCGCACAGCTGGAGCACCGGAGTGCTGTGGCTCCCGCGACCGCCACCTCGGAGCCGCCGGCCTTGGCGACTAACCTAGCCAAATCTTCGGGGCTCGCGTGCCCCGTGTTGAGGTGGAGTCGACGCAGGTTCCGACGTAGCTCCGGCGTCATCCGCTGGGCCAGCGACTTGCCCATCGGAGTGTCTGGAAACTTAAACGTAATCCCCTGAGGGATCGCATTCCCGCTGTCGGTCTCTCCGAGCCCTGAGGGGTAAGATGCTGGTCCTGGTTCGAGTTTCGTCGCGCGCCCCTCGTGCACGCTGCGACCCTGACCTGAAGGCCGCGTTCCCGGGAGCCGTCCGCGCCACCCGATCCTCTCAGGCTCCGCGCGCGTCAGATGGCGCTTGAGCCCTCGAAGCACACCGAGCGCTAAAGAGTGTCGCCCAGTGCTTGATGTGGCCTTGTCGTTGACCCCCGAGCGACGCTCGTGCACCACGGAACACTCTCGCCACAGCACCGCTGCGATCTCAGGGCAGTTCGTCGCCCACCACGCTGGCTGACCCGTGACTCCTCTCACACACAGGCCGCCCTTGACTACCTCAACCGAAGGGAGGGCCTCCACCGCGTGGATGGCTGACTCATTCCTCACCAGGGCGCAACCGCCATTTTCCGCCTGCACTTCGAACACCTTCCGGGTAAACTCCATCAGCGACCGCTGCCGTCGTCGCTCGGCTCGTTGTCGCTGCTGATCGGCATTGCTCTGGTGAGTACCGCGTTGGGCGCCGCCGACTGAGGAGCCATGGAGCTCCACCACAGCCAACCTCGGTCGCACATCGCTCAACATTCCCAAGGCCTCCGCCTGCTCGGACTCCCGTGCGAGGTCGGCTCCGCATTTCGCGTCCCAAGGACGGAGACACCACCAACCATTCTTGGATCCGATGCGACTGACGTCACTGCCGCCCCCGAAGAACTCGACCACGTCCACGCGGTCCGTACCCCAACGGTGACGGGCCCACTGCCCGCCGCCAGTTTCCTCGAGCCAGGTCCCGAGGGTGGCTACCCCAAGCAACCATGCCGAGGCGATGCCCAGGCATGCCTTGCGCACTGCCGTCGCCGTGGGGCCCTTCAAACGTCGGTTTCGGGCGCTGCCGCGCCCTTGCTTCCCGCCGCCGGCAGCCTGCGTGCTCGCATGGCTGCCAGCACCGGGCGCGTCCCCCGCGCGGCCGCTGAACCGCTCGACGGCTCGGCAGGCCCAGTGCCGGAGTCCACCTCCATACTCCCTTCCGTCTTCACTCCGGTTGACTCCCTCTTCTGGGCACGACTCATCTTGCTCGAGCCCTCCAGTGCCTCCGTTGGGGTCCATTCGGCCTCCGCTTGGCCTTCGCTCACGAACAGCCTGACGTCTCGGATGAGCTCTTCCCGTCTTTTGTCGGCGCCGTTCGACCGTGTCAGCGGTATCTGCCGCACCGCGGCCTCCTCCTGCAGCTGCGCCAACTTCATATTGGTGAGGCCCGTCGGTAAGGTTGTTCGAGGGTCGTCTTTCTCCACTTCCGACGCTTGGATCTCGTCCTTCTTTTCTCGAAGCACGAGCCTCAACTGACCAGCGGTCTCTGCCTCCGCGCGGGCCCTCTGCCAGCCGAGTCGCTGCATGGCCAGCGTCACCAGCTCTGCCTTTCGCATCTCCCAGATGCTTCGAGGGGTGTCCTCCCTCTGGCGAAGGGTGAGGACCTCCCGCTCCAGGTAATCCACCAACAACTCCTGATACCAAGCCCTCCATGCCATGAATACCAACCGAGTTGCCGCACTCGCCCTCGCAGCTCCGCTGCGACACTGCACGACAGTCGGGCGCCATGGCGGCATCTGCCCGCGCGCGCGTCCCAGGGCCACCGAAGATGGCGCTTGCTCGTGCTCGCCGTACGGGTCCTAAACCGACAGGGGCTGCGGTCGACTCGATCGCTGCCGCTTCGTCGTCGTCGTCGTCGTGGTCGTCGTCGTCTGGCCGGCCGTCCGTGTAAAGCGCACGGCGCACGGCCTCGCATGGGGATCCGCGGACGCGCCCATACAGCGTGATCTCAGCCCCGGCCCGGCAGCGGCTCACGGCTTCCTGTGCGCCCGCTCCTGGCCCCCCAGGTCCGTAACTGACAGCAGCCATGGCCAGGTGCCCCGACGGCAGCTCCCTGAGCTTGTGCCTGGCCTTGCTGAGGGCACCGAGTGTGATCTCGGCCTCCTTCACGTGGATATGGGCCTCCAGGGCCTTCAGGGCTCCGCCCGAGATCAATGGCGGAACGTCCTCTTCCACCAAGCTGATCCTAATCACGGCCCCCTTGCCGTCCCATTCCATGGGCAACAGCAACGCTTGGGAGCTGTAGATCGCCTTCCCCGGTCCGAACCGGTAAGGTTCGCGCTCGGTGACTGTCTCGAGCTCGATGCCCCAGTTCTCCCTAACGTAGATGGCCAAGCGCCGGTGCCACCGGAGCCCCGCCACGGACTTAGCACACGCCGTGTCCACAACGATCAGCCACACAGCGTCGCCCGTTTCTGCGACTAGTACGGACATCGGATGTCCCGCGGCGGCTTGGAGGTGGGAAGAAGGAGGGGAGAGACATAGGGGAAAGGCCTCCTCTTCCTCCTCGCTCCTGAAGCGCGTTATCTTCACGCCATTGTCGACTTCGCCCGGGCAGTCTCCTTCGCACCGGCATTCAACTTCGCACCGCAACTCCTGCGCACCGGCCGCACCTCCATTCACATTCGCACCGGCATTCCCCTTCGCACCGGCATTCCCTTTTCCGTCTTTGTTGGCGCCGCCGACCTCGATGGATGAGCCTCCTGTTCCTCCGAGGTGAAAGGAGGGAGGGAGAAGAAGTGAGAGAGGTTTTTGAGACTCAAGCACGACACCATCCAGGTGCGCCGGCTCCGCCGGTTCTTTCTCCCGCTCCGCGGGCTCTTCAGCGCGGGCTACGACCCGCGTGCCCTTGCCTTCCGCACCGGCCGCCTTACCAGCCGTGCTAGCCTTCCCCGGGGCCCGAGGGCACTCAGGGTCGTCCTTCCAGTGGCCCAGCCTGCCACATCGCTTACACGGGAGCGTCAGCTTGAGCTTCCGGATGCGCTCGGAATCGGCGCCTCGGCCTCCGCTGGCCCTGCCGCCAGGTCCACGGTAGAAGTCGCGCGCCTTCTCAGCCTCGGCGCGCGCCTTCTTAGCCTGCGTCATGAGCACCTCGTTTTCCGTGAGGTACGCCTGGAGCTCCTCAGGGACCAACTCGTTCTCCGCGATATTCGGGTCCACGCCAGCGTCGACCTCCGAGTCCGGCTCCTCGTCGTCGTCGTCCTCCTCGGCGGACGTGCTGGGGCCCTCGGCCTCGGCGCCTTCGCGTTCAGCCTCGGCTTCGGCGTTTTCGGTAGCGTGGACCTTTCGGGCGCCGCCCCTGCCTAAGGGTTTACCGAGCCTCCGGCGATTCCTGTTCAGGTACTCGCGGTTGGCTCCGTTGAACGGCGCCGCCGCCCGATTCCTCAGCATAGAAACCCGAGGAATGCAAGCTTTAGACGAGTCGCGAAGTTTCTCGTAGACCAGCTCGTTGCCAGCACCAGTGATGATCTGGCTCTCCTTGTCGCCGCCCACGCGCAGTTTCTTCAGGAAGTAGTGGGCTTTCAAGTGCTTGTTGAGCGGCTCCTCCATCGCCTCCTCGAAATCGCGCACCTTGGCCTCGTACCGCGTCTCGAAGTCCATGATCTCCTCGCCAGCGTTCCGGCTGACCTTCTCCACGAACTCATCTACGAGCGTGCCGACC